GCCTCGCAGTCTATCTTATACATGCATGCACACAACTACATACCATTGAATGTAAAATCTTATTTATTTGTATATTTTTATATTATTTGTGTTTTGTCTGTATTAAAATTATCGATTTAATAAATAATTAAATGTACCTTGAAATTATCTATGCTTAAATAATTAAACATTTTTTAACCTTTTATATATAACTTTTCACTTGTATTTCATATAACAATTAACATAAGTATTATCAGGCAGAGAATATTTAGATTTTATAACTTAATTAAGAATAACAATTTTCAATTACAGACTGCGGCCCTTAAACTTACAAATTAAAGACGATGTATCACAATACGTTGTGATAATTTTGAATTTTAATATTAATATGGCATTGCGATAAAGGCATATAGAATTTATTTAAAATATTTCTACAATTCTCCTTACACTAATTATAATTATAAAGCATATTTTAGCAAATATTTTTCAAAAATGAAAACGAAGTCTCTCTAATAAACAATGCAATGTCTAAAGGAAAATTATGTAGTCAATCGAATCTATTACGTATACAAAATCTGCATGAAACTAGTTTTTTTTTTTCTTTTTTTTTTTTTCTTCATTATTCGATACATATTCAATTATAATTATGTAACGACGATATTTCCTTTTCGATTCATAAAATAATCAAAGATCAATATTCATAATATGTCATGATTTTATCTTATGCTTACATCAACGTCAAGACAATATTTTGTCATGTTAAGAAATGAAATTCATTCGATGATTGTAATTGAAGTTAAACAAGCAGTTATAAGAAAGGAATTGACGAGTAGGCATGAATTGCCTTCAAATTATCCAATTTTTCGTGGTCATATTTATAAATATATTTTTCTACCTTCACTTATTTCATATTTCATGTTGGAATATCCAAACAAGAGTCTAAAAGATATCACGTATAATATATTTTTGCCAATCTAAATAATTCGTGGACTTACAAATTTGTTTATTTAAAAGTAATATAAATTTACAATTTGAAAAAATAGCTTTAAGCATAAACTTGATTTATAAGTGCGTAAATAAATCACTTAGTTTGCCAAAAATATTATAGCTTTAGATTCATAAATTCATAAATTACAAATGTAATTAATTATAAGATCAGCTTCGAACGAAATTGAAATTAATTTGAATACAAGAATATTAAATACAAGCTTAATATAAGCAATATATAAATACTAAAAATATTAGTATACATATCAATTAAGAATATTTATATATAGAACTCACATTTGAAAGTAAAAACTGGAAAAAATAATTATATAAAACAGGTATAAAAATCTAATAAAATTTTAATCGATTGATTTCTTTGAATAAATAAACATATTTGATTATCTGCGATCTTGAAAAAGCTATTTTTCCAATCACCATTTAGTATTTTCTAGAGTCGTTTTATTATGGTGATTAGTTCGTACTATTAATATTAAATAGAATTTGACGTAATTCTCGACAAAGATATTATTCGGTGAAATATACAGGCATTCATATTAGAATGAACAATTACTTTCAATAACGGAAAAAAAAATGTACAAAATTAAATTTTTTTTTTTTTTTTTTTGAAACAAATCGGCAATAAAAATACTTTCACTAATTTCTCATACTTATAAGCTTGCACGATCTACTATTCACTTACTATATTCTATATTGACTTGTAGTAATAAAATAAATGCTATGTCATGTACAATAATAAAATTTCTTCAATTTCACCTTCAATAAATTCGAAGTCTTTGGTTTAAAATTCAGGTATCGTGCGCTTCATGTTTTTCAAACTGTATCGAGTATTTGTCGCGAATGCATTATTTAATCGAATCAAAGATTAACTACGAAAACCAGGGGAAAAAAAAAATTAATAAAATGACTAAGTACTTCTTTATAGGCTACAATGCTTGTAAATTATTAATAATCGATCGTCTGTGTTTCATAATATACTAGCTATTCATTATTAACCGAAGCAATAACGCTGCTACGTGTTAATATTTCCTAAATTTATGCAGAGGGTGAAAGACTAGGATATATATTTATAATAAATATTACCATAAAGCTTGTAAGCGTTACAATTAATAAACGCTGCCTTCGATATCGAAAAACAAGCTTATTGCCGGAAAAAAGTCATATCCAACCAAGTGTCTGAATCGTAAACATTGCATTACATTCTGCAATAAAGCAAACATGCATGATATACCTTGTTTCTAGGCTCAGCTCCTAGTACGGGACCATTCCTTATCAATCCTTCCTCTCCTATTTGTAAAATATAGGAAAAAGGAGATCAAAGCGTAAAAAAAAAGGTAAACAATATAAGACGTTATAGCTGCTTCTCTTCCCCCCCCCCTCACCGGCACATTCAATCCCGAGCGCTTCTACGACTCTGCGAATGCGTGCGCGCGCGTACGAGTGAGCAAATAACCAAGAGAGAGAGAGAGAGACAGAGAGAGAGAGAGAGAGAGAGAGAAAAGTTAAAACGAATGAGATATGGTAGAGGCTCCATTCACCCATTGGTATTTCAAAATATTACATTGGGAATCCCATACGCGTGCTTTAGTGCATACCTTTCGGAAAAACTGGCATTAATATAATAATCAGCGAGAACGAGGTGCAGTTCATTTTAGTAGCAATTTCCAAATTTTAATGAAAGGAGAAAGGAGTAGTATCGCAGCATAAGCCAGCGGAGTATAAATTTCCAGCAAAATCTCGTTAAATGTTTAAATTTGAGAAACGTAGAATTATTATGAAAACGAAATACGAATATAATTTTATAAACTGTGTTCGGCTCTGATAAGAATACCGAAGAAAAAATATTTGAATACTTTAACTTCTTATAAAGAATATCGTTAAAATTACTTTCAACTCTTCAGCATGATTAATATCAACTTTTTAAAACATTTTTATTAACTTTGACCTATAAGCATAAAGCCATTTACGAATTGCATGGATCAGTGTCTATTTATTTTTGATACTCGCCGGTTAATTAACCTAATATGGAAGTTAATTATTGAAAAAAATAAATAAATAAATAAATAAATAAAGAAAAAGATAAATGCACTTCGATATTCATTACATTTTAGAAATGATGCGTTCAAATTAACGTACTTTATTATATTGTAATTTCTTTATGACAAATTGTATCTTATCTATTTCTGTGCCTTTGTGTGTGCGTGTGTGCGTGTGTGCGTGTGCGTGCGTGCGTGCGTGCGTGCGTGCGTGCGTTGTGTGTGCGTGTAGTCCATAAATTGGCAGATTCACGCGTCATTTCAAGTGTGAAAAATTTAAATGAAACTTTTGGAACTTTTAAATATTACATTATCAAGAAAGATGAACAACAACAAATTGTAAATTCAAATTTAATATATTCCGTAGTCTATTTTGTTAATAATCTCCCTTTACCTTTAATTTATACCTTCGTATTTACCTTTAATGCAAGATGGAATTTTTATTCAGATGTAATGGTTTGTTATTTTTAACGCTTCCTGATTGCTCGCAAAAGATTTTACCAAAACGACTCAAAAGTACTAATGGCTAGATAACAACGGATTATTTGAAGAAAAAAATAATAAAATAAAATAATAATAATAATAATAATAATAAAATAAAGCATATTCCGTTATTGCTTAAATCGAGATATATTATTAACGTCGCACCGATGAAGCGAGTTGTGGATTAAATTAGTCGTGTGGATTAAATATTTCGTAACGAAGTTAAAATTCAATATTTAGTTAAAATACTGATAATAACGAACGGAAGAGTAAAAGAAAAACGATAAACGAAAAAGATAGGTAAAAGCTATTAAGTACCTTACGATTCATTCTCTCGTTAAAATGTCAAAGGTCGAATGATTAGTCGCGACATATTAGATATTAGATATATAAATACATCGTATCGGAACGTAAGAAGTTCCCATCTTAATAATAATATACCTCCAAGTTCAAAGTAATTAGGCAAATTTACAACACCATCACGTGATGCCAAGTCGTGATTCGCTCGTGGAATATATAATTAAATCACGCCCATTTCAACGTCGAATGCGAATGCGAAAAGTAAGGAATAAAATTTCTCCGATCTTTTATGAATGTGTGTAGCGAGCTGGATTAATACGAAAGTAAACATCACGTCGTTACATTGGTGCTCGCGCTAATGCCGAATGTCGATGGTTTGAGACGGGTTTGGAATTGGGCGTACGGGCCGCAGACTGGGCCTCGTAGTCCCGAATCCTTGGGTCCGGTCTGGTATCGGTGCTGCGCCGGCGGGGCACGCCGAATCGGCAAGCCGCGGCGTCGGCGTCGGCGTCGGCGCGGCGCTTTGCGCAGGCGGCCCCCGATGCCAGTGGGGCGCGCGACGCCTTTCGCGCCGGAGCCTCATCGTCCCGGGCCGTCCCAGTGCAGAGGCGCGCGGCACCGACGACGGCGGGCCGAAAATAACCCGGAGGATCGGCATCGATGGCGAGTTTGGGCCGGTGGTGCGAGCGCGGCCAGTACGGTGGCACGTTGGAGCCGAAGCCGTCGCCTCGGACGCTGGCCGGTTAGTGCGCCAGGCTCTTACCGTTATTAAAGATCCCCGTTAAAGGAAGCCGATATGATGCCGTGTAGGAGGCCGGCGAGCCACGAGGACGACACCTATCCGTTGCGAAGGCGTGACGCGCGATTCTTTTCGTAGGACGACGACAATAGACGACAATAGACGACGATAGACGATAACGACGCGAAATATAACGAGCTCACGCTACTCGTTGACAATAAGTAGAGAAAGACAGCGGTTGTTTGGCTCGTTTTGGTCAGGCGTTTGTCCAATCGATTTCAGGCGCATAATGCCCGCCTAATTGCGCCATGGGCAGCGAAGTTTTCGGGGCCGCGACATCGGCCGAGACGGGATACCGAGGAGACGGACACCGCCGCCGCCGCCGCCGCATTGTCAGCTGTTCCAAATAGCTCGCTCGAATATATCGCTTGTGGCTATTTAGTGAACCAATGGTTTTCCCTAGCGAGCTCTCTCGCCTCGACTTGGACTTTATTAACGGATATTGGTTAGCGGATAGCCGCTAGCAGTGACTCGTCCGAGGATATTTATCATTTTGATCTGGTCTAAGGCTAAGATTGGTAATGTGTACAGTGGACGATTGTCAATGGAATTCTCTCCTTACGTTAAATCCCCTTGGTTGGGAAGCGAAGGTTTTGTCCTCACCCCATCTACCACCACCTGCTTGATTGATTTTCAAGTTTTCCAGCCGCGACGAATAATAATATCGTATTAATTGCAGTGAGTCGCCGATAATTGGTAATTGTTTGTATTAAGAAAATTGTTGTGCGTCGCTTATCTACCTATATGCAATACCATATTGTATTGCAGTAATTTCTTTAATTTCTTCTCTCTCTCTCTCTCTCTCTCTCTCTCTCTCTCTCTATCTCTATCTCTATCTCTCTTTATTTAATTATTTCTTTATTATTATTATTTTTTTTTTCTTCAAAATAATTCACCGTCGTTGGGCGCCAGTGCTAAGCAAGCGAGACAAAACGTTTAATGTTTATTTCCTATTTTATTCAAATATGTGCACTTGAAATTTTTCCAACGATTAATTACCCTTGCTTCGTGTTCTTTTTAGCTGCCCAAAATCGCGACTATTTTTGGAAAATTAAAAATAATTTTTCTTTTTATACAACGCTTAGCTTCAATATTATTAAGTGTAAATGTTCGACGGTCGTTGGAAAAATTCAACTCAAGGACACTAGGCGATCCCGCGCTTCGCTATTTTCGTACTATTTATATTTAGTAATATTAGAAGAGAGAGGGATTGGGGGGAGGGAGGGGGGGGCGTAGAAAAAAATGATTTACCTAAATGAAAGTCAAAATTTTCAAGATAATTGAAAAAAAAAAAAAAAAAAAAAAAAAAGGAAAAAAAAAAAATTTCGTTGCAATAATAAATTAATGTGTTAATGAGTGAGACTCGCTGATGTACTTACTCTTCATTATTCTTTATTAACTTTGGCAAAATTTCGTTGCTTTTATTTGTCATTTGTTTGGCTTGCTGTAAATCTCCCGTGACAAAACGTTCGCGTGACCGTAAAGTTTTAAGTACTCGCTGACAGTTCAAAAAAACAAAAAACAAAAACAAAAAACAAAAAAAAAATACAAAAAAAATTATATACACCTAAATTATAGAAACTATTTGGTAGTCCTGATGGTTATATTGGTACAGCTGTGCAAGTGATATGTACCTAACTTTATTGTATTTTTGAGCAGAGGTATAATGTTCGCGGACGATTGTACGTGCGTGGATCCGTTGATAAATTATTTATTCAAGCGTGATAGATGCATTTTCCTCCGGCTGTCTCGTTATTTCTTCGCGTGCAGGTTATTTTTCGCACAAGCCCTTTTCCTTTTGCACTGAAGAAATTTGTCAGCTGTTTGTGGTACGAATGGAACGGGGCGAGAGGTGATCTGCGAGGGCGTTGGGGGTGGGAGGGAGTGAGAGTGAGAGTGAGAGTGGGAGAGAGAGAGAGAGAGAGAGAGAGAGAGAGAGAGAGAGAGAGAGAGAGAGAGGAAGACAGAGACAGCTTTCAAGAGCTGTCTGCTTTTATATATTGTGCTGGTATATATACAAGCTGTATACGCCAAAATTTTTCTGCCTTCCATACCGTTGAGTAGGAAATTTATTTCTGTGGTTTATGGACCCCTTCGACAGTTTGATATTAACGCTCCCTGAGAATATTGTAGAATTAGAAATCAATATATATATATATATATATATATATACACATATACATTCATTCCAGTCAATTTTGGTAATGCTAATTTCTTTATCAAATTATTTAAATAATTCAATTTTATCTACAATATGACGATAAGGATAAATGTTTCTTTTTTTCTAAATTTATTTATCCTAATGATGAATGTCTATCGTCTTTTATCCACAATATATTATATTAATACATTGCGTATATTAATTGATATATAGTTTAAAAACTTAAGAACTTTATCTTGAATGGTGATTTTAAATAAATAATAATGCACACGTTATACTAAAGGCAAATTAAACCTTCAGTTTCGTTAAAATATTAAATACAAAAAGAGCACGATATCGTGAATAAGATAGGAGCCCGTTGATTAAAATTTGAAAGTAACAATTGAGAAATCCCATTTGATTATCTTGATAGCTTTAATCGAAGTGAAATGAATAAAGTCGTAATTTTTAATTATTCACAGAAATACTGAAATATACGTTTGAATGTTTGGATGCTTATTTTTCGTATCAGTTAATGTATGTCACCGATCTATTCTGTCTATTTCCGTCTGTCCATTTCCGATATTTAATTCATCATTATTAAAGAAATTATCGTATTTTGTGTTTGGACTATTAATTGAATTCGTCCAACAGTGTGCGAAAGAAGCTTAAAAGTGGTAGATTTGACATACCAAGAAGTATTTCAAATAGTATAGTCGTTCGTCGAAAAATATGCAATCACAATGATCTAAGTTCAAGATAAATTGCATAATTTGTAAAAGTAGTACTCCAGTTTGATGCGGATGGGCTTATTTTCATTCATTTATGAAGTCATTACGATAGGAGATAGGGAAATAGTCGTTACGCACAATAATAATTTCCATTTCATTGTAAATTTAACTTATTTCAGCTGTACATAGAGATATATTATTTAAGTGATATTTACTTGAAACTTATATTATAACAATTAATAATAGCCTGAATATATTAAAAAAAAAAAATTAAAAATAAAAAATAAATAAATTACGAAAATTAAAATAGTAATTAGAAAATTATATGAAATTAATTTTTTACATCTAATTTTTACGTGAAAAAAAAAACACTTTCGCATAATTATATAAAATATAATTGTTTATTATTGTCTTTGTATTACATCGTAAAGTACGGATGCAATTTCGCTTAATACATAGGTTTATTATGGAAGAAGAGCGAAAATAAACATTCCATTACCACATCTTCACCTTGGGGAATTTCTATTACATTCCGTGTAAAATCAAAGCATATGAAGATTTCAATTGCTTTGCAATAACGGCAGATCAGATTCTAAATCACTTTCTCTTAATCAGCCTTTATATGGAGTAAAGTTCAAGAAATGGAAAATCAATTTGACTAGAAGTGGGACTGAATATCCGCTTTGATAATAGCTTAAGCTAGTGGAACGTGTAGTTTCACCTTAATAAGCTAAAGTCTTGAGATCTTAAAAAACGGACAGCCATAGATCAATTTGATAGAAGGAATGTTCATCCAACGAAATTCAAAGAGTTTAGAGAGTTTTACAACGTTTTTTATGCAAATTTTCAGAACGTTGTGATATTTTGTATACGCGGGTATGGAGTGATTTATGGTATTTCATGCCCTATTTAATCAATCAAAACGTCGTGAATCACGAATGTCTTGTGAATAAATTTATCGATTCAGCGTATTAAATCGCGAATAGGATGAATCGTGTTTAGAATGTGAAATGCAATTTTTAAATAGGCATAGCGAATGCTTTTATTTTTTACTTGCAGATTATCGAAATCATTGCCGGATGAACAGCGTGACTCAGCGACACATTCATAATTAAAGATCATTAAAGGGTGTGAAAGTTCTTCCTCTTCTTCTTCTGCTTCTTTTTCTTTTCAACTGCAAACTCTCGTAACCACAATTAATCAAAGTTCGTCAAAGTTATATATATATATATATTTTTTTTAATTATGAAACTAGTTCATTTCTCAATAAATTCTATATAATATTAGAGTATATAAAATAAATGAGTGTTTTATACAAATGAATGAAATGATTTTTTAGTGTTATGGGTATTTTACAAGTATAAACATATCAAACTGATTCTTTAGATCGTGTAAATTAAACAAAAAAAAAAAAAAAAAATTAAATATATATATAAATAAAGAATAATTGTATCGACTGTTGCATAATTACAGAATCTATATAATAATCCATTTGACGTCATTACTCTCTGATTGATAATCGACGTTGGAGCCAACATAATTTTAATTATTCTTGTATTAATTTCAAATGCTCAAAACTTATGCGAATATTATATATAAAATAATGGAATTTTTCTTTTTATTTTATACAGTATAGTTTATACAGTTATTTTATACAGTTTAATTTGATTAAATTTATTTAATTTATTTTGTAATTAATGTACATTTACATGACAATTTCGATCGATAGAATGAAGCTAAATTAGCAATGTTAAAATTAATATTTACGAAAGGTGTAATTACAATTGCGATTTATCTTATTTCCATAATTTTTTCCACGTTATTAAATGGATTCCATTTATGCAATATTTGTATTACTCCCGAGACTTGGCTATTATTTTATTTTTTACTTTTCATAAATTTCTCCGATATAATGGTATTGAAGTATACCGTACGTAAACAGAAACTTGTTTACACCAATACTTAGGATATTTTTTAAAACAATATTTACATTTAAAATAAGCTATAAATTTTCATATTCTCATTTTATTTTTACTTTAAATAACAAATTTTTTATCTATTTATTTTTTTGTTTTTGTTTTTGTTCTCCTGTTGTTTTTTTTGTTTTTGTTTTTGTTTTTTTTTTTATTTTGTGTTCTTAGAAAGTTATCTAAGCACTGCATATTAACGAAATCATCAATGAAATTCGAAGTAAATTTTTTTATTAATATACATGTTCGGATGAGATTTAGCAAGACTCACTACAATTCACTAAGTTGGTAAAGAGAATGGGAGAATGCAGAGGAAAAAAAGGTTAAAATTTTCAAATGTAAGAGTTATTTACATTCGGGAAAACTTGTTATCGCGTCGATTTATTTAAACTATTTAACATAATAGGTTTTTTCTTCTGATTTTTATCTATTGTTGCATATATATTGGAATGACAGAATTGCATATATGTAAAATAATTGAAAATTCGATTATGGTGAGTTATTGTTGAAATAAGTTTTAACAAGTTGACAAAATATAATAAAGTAATAGAATCAAAATACACATAATTGTTATATAATAAAGGCTTTACAAAAGACGTGAACACCTACATCGAAATACGTGAACCATAATAATAATAATAATAATAATAATAATAATTATTATTATTATTATTATTATTATTATTATTATTATTATTGTTGTAATAGCAATTATATATTTATATAAGAATAAATCAGCGTCGTGAATATATTTACTTTCTTCGTGTTGTATTAATTGAATGTTAAAGCGAAATTTCACTTACTACTTATATGTAATAAAAAAAAAAAAAAAAAAGAAAGAAAAAAAGCGTGTTTCATGATATTATGGTTGAATGGTTTTATGATTTCTTATTAAAGTGAAGAAATTAAGAGATCGCCGTCTATATAAAATAGAGTAGTATGACAGAATATAAAATAGATCAGAGTGTGTGTTGTTAGAATACTACTATGGCCATCGGGCGTTGCAGTATTGTTTATGTTATTATTAATGTCCGTCAATTAAAATATTACATTCAAGGTAAATTATCGAATTAAAAATTTGTCGTGATATCGTTGAAAACTTTTTGCTATTTCTTTTTTACAATTAATAGAAAGAAAATCGTGATAAAATTTGCACATTAAAGGTAAATTAATATTAACGTTATTCAAAATAAGTTCTATTCTATGACATTAAAAGTCAGTTGAGTTAGAGTGGAGAATTTATTTTGCCTTTGAACGATTATATTACTTTAATTGTAGTAATTTCGAAGGCGAAGACGAGACACGAGGACATTCGAGAAAATAACGTAACACTGTAAAAAGACCAAAAGTTCTACAGTGGTTGAATAAGATTTCTTTCTTAATAATATTTTTAATAATTTATCGACAAGGTTCTTTCTTTTGAATAGAAGAAAATAGAAATGACTGTAAAATGAAGGACGATGAAATTTCTCGGTATTATATGGCCGGAGGAAAATCGATGGTCGAAAAATAGACGAATATTAAAATTTTTTAAAAATTAACACAACTTTTCATTTATCCCGTAGCGCCGCAGATACGAAATTATGATGTTTGTAATAAAGAAATTTTAAATGACACGCGAACGGAATATTCTGCCATTTCTCTTTCTTCCGATTTGTCCATTGGCATAAAAGGCGGGAGGAGCCTTGTAAATTATTTAAACGGAAATTCACATGAACTAATAGACGAGGCGCTCCTTTTCACTATCGCATCTTCTTTCTCCATTAGACCATAGTTTTTACGCGTTGATTATAAGTCTACGCAAAAAGCTCCTTTTTTTCCTTGAAACGCGCGATAAAATTAACACAACAATACCCGACTTTCCTCTCTCGAGCGCAATTTTAAAGCCTTACTCTGGGAAAATGAAAGGAATAACGAGAGGAGGGCCCTTATCCATCTACTCGTATATAAAATGTGATGCAAAAATTTCATTGGCAAGCCACTCAAGTCCCCCTATCCATTGAAAAAACTTTACGTGAGAATAAAGGACAGAAAAGGGCATCAGCTTGCGTTTACCTCTACTACTATTACTACTACTCTCAGCTCGTAATGGCAGCATCAGACTATCCCCGCCCCCTCTCAATCACTGCCTGTCTGTCTTCACACGATAATTTCAAAAATTATTTGGTCCCTTTCAAAATGTTTTCGTTGGCAAAGTGTATCGCGAGTCGAATGCTCGAGCTCGCGTTTGCCCCTTCAATACGGCGAAATCTCCATTGGCAAAATCGTGCGTCCATCGTCTTCGTCGATAGTGACGTCACCGTAAGGTCGGTTGCTTCCGATCCGCTGTAATCGGTCGGTGGTCGATTCAAAGTCCCACGCGGGATTTCTTTGTCGGCCGTACCGCGAAGATGGGATCGAGAGCCCCGAGTGGCGTTGCGGCTCCACCAACGTCCCCTCTACAGCGATTATGTTGTCCCCAGTGCGAAGCCCGGCATCGGGGTAAAGGGGCGTGCGTCGCGGCGATGATTCCGGACTACGGTGCGGAGCAGCTCGCGGCCGGCGCGCGCCTCCGGCTCAACCTCACGGACCACAACGGGACGACGGCGGCGCCGCTGGAGTGCAGCCTCGAGGTCACCGACGGCTTCGTCGAGTTCCTCATCTACGGTCTGCTGCTGAACACGGTGAGCCTCCTCGGGATCCTTGGCAACGCCATATCAACGATCGTGCTGTCGAGGCCACAAATGAAGTCCTCCATCAACTATTTGCTTATCGGCCTGGCGACCTGCGACACCGTCCTCATCCTCTTGGCCGTAAGTTGCACATCCAGCCTTCATGAGCTTCGATAGAATAGGAAGGTACGCGGGCGAATATTTCAAATCCCTTCCAATCAGCCGCTTGACACAGCTTGCGACTCTCCTTGTCCCTCACCTACCACCTGTTTGTCCTCCTTCGTCACGATCTCTCCGCACGAGCACAGCACGTGCGGATCACGATCATTTCTGGGATCTCGTACGTTGCGTCGGTCCAATCGCTTCAATAACAATTGAATGCCTCGGCAAGCGTACGCGCTCGTATGTCCCTTATCAATTATCAGCGAGGAAAGGTTAAAAATTATGCTTTTATGAGGAGACACGGCATGTAGACGCATGGTACAAGGCACATTATGTGACACACCAGAAGAGAAGTGAGATATCCCCGACTCCCCTACGCGCGCCTGTAATTAGCCGCTTCGACTTATTGAATGAGCGACATTCTAGGGCGTTTGGATTGCGAAATGGAATTATTAAGTCGAATACGCGCAGTAAGTAGCGTTTCTTATCTTATCTATGCTCTCGGGTTACTCTGATTGACGTTAAGCCTACGCAATAAAAATACGAACGTGTTATGAATTTAATATCGCTCGAGTTCAGCTATTGTGCTATACATTTCAGGAGGAACGAACAAAAATACGTTCAAACGCCATAATTAAGAAATAAAACGAAAAACTATAATGCTATAAAAAAAAAATTAAAAAAAAAATAATAATAATAATAATAATAATAATGAAAAAATAAAAAAAAAAAAAAATAAAGAAAAGAGAGAAAAAACTTGTTTACGCTAAATTGTAAGCTTCGTGGATCGATATAAATTGTTAATAGCTGCGTATAATAAATAATAAAATCAATGAAATTACGCGGACGATTTTCTTCCCTTACTTTTATTAAAATACTATTGCTATCACATTTTATCCGTATGCTCTTTTCTTCAAATGGAAAAGTTTATTCAAATCCAAATAGTTACGTTTAATTAGAAAATAACACAGCTTAGGCTTAATTTATGTATCAATATCATTACGCTCCTGAGTTAATTAGCCTTTAAAATATTTTTTTTCTCTTCTTTTTTTTCCTTCTCAAACTACAATTACAATTTACGCCACGTACATGGGATTTAATTGCACCTAACACATCGAGCCTACATTCCTACATAATCTTATTTCAGCTTTATGTAATTATTGATTATTGGTCTATAATAATATTGGTTTCTGTTGGTTTTTTCGTTTGTCTTTCTTTTAACTTTATTTAATTAGTTCCTGATAATGAGGAAAAAATTTATTTCAAACGGTAAGAAAATTAATTGCTACTAAATGGAAAGTATAAATGGCAAACAAAGGTTGTCTATTATGATGATGAAACTACGGTATCCTCAAGCATAAAAATAATTTTAAATCGTCAGCCTTATAAATTATATATATACAGAGAGGGAGAGGGAGAGGGAGAAAGAGTCAGATAGGGAGAGAGAGAGAGAGAGAGAGAGAGAGAGAGAGAGAGAGAGAGAGAGAGAGAGCTATAGAGGGTAAAAAAGTTTTTTAACAAATCATAATTGATCTTTATCACTACCATGTTATATAAGTTGAATTCAAATAAAGATAATTTCTTCTGGTAATTTATAAAAGAGCAAGTTATACCATTAACCTTTTCACCTGGGATTATTTACGCGAAAGACTACAAATTAAAGTAAAAATTTTCATACGGCCAGCCTCTTATCTTGCAATTTACCGTCCAAAGCCCATTGTTCAAAGCTCGTAGAGAGCAGAAACGCACCCACCAGTCCCTCCCCTACCAAGTCTAACTAAATTTTGTAATTATTCTGATGCAAAGCGGGCCCGGAACTTTTACAGCCCCCACGCACTTTCCACGAGTCGTTCGGACGCGAATACCCAGACTCCCGGGGCGCAATGTCTCCAGCGCGCTAATTATTCGCTAAACCTCGGCCCCGTGGCCGTAGCGAACGCGCGTGCTATTCTCCCGAGATTTGTCTCCTCGTCAAAGGGCCCCTACCTATGCCAAAAGAATGCGGTAGTCCGCGGAATCCCGGGTGCTCGAGCCTCTCTTTCTTAATGACGCGACGACACGAAGAAGGGATCGAGCCGGGAGACAAGTTAGGAGCGACGATTATCCAAGTTATAGTTAGTGCCAGATTAGTTATCCGACGATGAGCGCTACGACCTCACGTCTGCCCTTTAATCATCTCGAGTCGTCGTTCGTTTCTCTCCCCCCCCTCCCCCTCCCCCCTCCCCCCGGCCCCTTTATACCCCCCGGCCCGTTTATACGACGCGCCAACAATGAGTTCTTTCGCTCGAGTCAGCCTGCGCAGGGGATCGGTGGACGGTGTTGGGAGAGGGAGGGAGGAGGGGGGCACGAGGTCGACGACGAGGTTTTATTGCAAGTAATCCTTCTAGATGGCCGGGGCTTATTTTTCGAATGCAGTGCGCACTAGTTTTTGCGCCGTCGTCTCGAGTTTATCCGAAGCGCTCACTGCTGGCCTTTCATGTCTCATGTCAAATGTTGCGCCAGGCGTATCGGGAACCCTCCGCACGCTTAAAATGTTACTACCATGGAGTTGTAATAAATTTTTATCTTCCCTTTTCTCGTAACTCTTTATTTTCTCTTTAATAGAAAGTCATTCGAATAAACTGTTCCGTTTGTTGAAAAAGCTTTGCTTCACTGGATTTCTCTCTCTCTCTCTCTCTCTCTCTCCTTCTCTCTTTTTTTCTTTTTCTTTTATTCTTTTTTCTTTCCCCTTTTTTTTTTTTTTTTTGTAACACCAGATGAGCTACAAATCCCGCTCGATTTATCGGTACTTATGTATTAATAACAAATCCTTGATCTCGTAAGAAGAATTTTATGAACAACATTCAAATGCAGACATATTTTTTTCCCAAATACTAGCAATACCACTACCACTACCACCACCACCGCTATTATTATTATTTTTTATTTTTTTTTGCTGTTGTCGTCGTCGTCGTTATTATTTTTCCTCTTCTTCTTTCTCTTCTTCTCCTTCTTCTTCTTCTTCTTCTTCTTCATATTATTATTATTATTATTATTATTATTATTAATATTATTATTATTATTATTGTTATTGTTATTATTATTATTATTATTGTTATTATTGTCGTCATCGTTGTCGCCGTCGTTATTATTTTATTGATACCAACTGGTATTTTTATATTAATAAATTTTTAGTACGAATTATAATATGAATGAGATAATACACATTTTTCACAAATATTTACGTTTTTATCAATTATTTTATATAACACTTTGCTAACAAACAAATTTTTCCTCTTATGTTTTTTACCTCTTGGTATTTATTGACAATGTTTTTATTTTAAGTATTTTTTCCATTTTATTAAATTCGTAATGCATATTAACGGGAAATAAAGTTATGTAAAATTCATTAATGTTCGTAAACCCCATAATAAAGGTTGCATAAATGAGAAAAGTCGTGATGTTGATTTAATATTATTGCAAGTGAAATATTCTCTGTTGAATATTTGAACAATATTTACCAATGTATAAGCAATTCATAATTTTTATTGACGATCCAAGTAAAATGAGAATTATTAAGTAAATTTTTAATATACAATTATATTTTTGTATTTTGGAATAGTAAGAATTTTTTTGGATTTCTTAAGATATAAGTGAGGGAAGAAAATTAATGTAATTTCACCCCACATATTGATATCCGTGGCATTACAATTATACTATAATTTTTAATGTTGCAACTTAAAAGCATTAGGAAAAGAATATATTTTTTATTTTATTGATCAAACATTATGACAGTTATTGCAATATGTATTTTGTTCCGTTGATAAAGTAAAAACTCAATAATATATGATATAATTCAATTGTCGGTCAAGGATTGAAGTGAACATACGACGAATAAAGTGCCGCTGCTTACACTCTCTTCAAATTTAGTTTTCTCAGTCAGATTTACCTGCTTATCCAAGTTAATATATCTATATTTATCGCTCTCCGGATGAATGATTAATTAGGTTAAATATGACGAGCATTTACTTTAACGTACGATAATTTAATATAAAAACTAAGATAAATCTTATATCTTATTTGAAGTTATTGTTGGAGAAGATGATAGGATAAATGGGGAAAGATTTAAAGTTCGTATTTTGTGATTATAAATGTAAGATAAAAATGCTAAACGTTTCCATAAAATGGACGAGCTGGTTATTTCGCGAAGACTATGGGAGCAAACATTAAGCAATCCTAAAACAATATGGTAAGCTCGTTGGGGCTTGCAAAGAGACGAAATAATGTAATGTCAACGTAAGAGAAACGGTGTTTGTCAAATCATTAGGATACTCGTGTGTCGATTCCAATATCATCAAACGATTCTCACATACTATTAATGGAGAAATAACGAAATATTCGATAAAACATGAATGAAACAAATAAACAAACAAACACAAAATAATAAAATTTAACTTCCGTTGCTGTAAAAAAATGTCAAAGTTACTTATCAAAAGTAATCTCGCGTTAAAAGGTGGAGCAACTAACTAGTTCAAGCCTAAAAGTTTGAGTCGAGTTTACTGCATCGTAAACGTACTGGAAGCCTAGTTAAAGCAACGCCCCCAATACCACTCGCGCTACATCCACGGATCCTTAACACGTCATTATCTCGTTTTATATCTCACTTACCTGAGGCTAAGGCAATGGAAGACTTTACTCGAAGACGCTCGAGATTCCCCGGGAGCAACCCCTACTTACCAGGCGAATCCTTCTCTCCTCCTCCTCCACCCTCCTCAACCGCCCCAAGCTTGACTTGCCTCTCTATCTCTCTCTCTCTCTCTCTCTCTCTCTCTCTCTCTCTCTCTCTCCCTCTCTGTCTCTTTCTCCCTCTCCCTCTCTCTCTCTCTCTCTCTCTCTCACCATCCTCCATCACATCCCACACAAGATCGAAGAGTGTGTCAAATGAGTGATAAGGACGTTGATGATGTCGACAGGTGCTGGTGTACGGCCTGCCGGGCATATACGCCTACACGGGCTATCTCTTCCACTACAAGTTCCTCGTGTACCCGAAGATCGTGCGCTACCTGTACCCGCTGTCGACGACCGCCCACATGGCCACCGTCTATCTGACCCTCACTGTCACGATGGAACGCTACGTGGCAGTCTGCCATCCTCTAAAGGCGCGCTCGCTCTGCACCTACGGGAGGGCTCGCACCGCAATATTCGCCATCGGCCTCTTCTCCGTGATCTACAATTTGCCAAAGTACGAGAGAGCCAGGAGTCGATCACTGTCAATGTCCAACCTTGGTTCACACCGACTGCCACAGCTAACGACCCTACATTGATTTCGGCGGGAGCATTTTTTTTTTTTTTTTTGTTTTACAGCCTCGGCATCCGAATCTTCCTCCCCCATTTGCGACCGATGCGCTTTACGCGACCTCTTAAATACACGTGCGCGTGCGGGGGCATCAGCGACGTTTCCGAGGTGTCCGGGAAGTTATTGAAATGTTCGGCATCGCCGTTGGGATTAAGGGGCGCGGGAGTCGATCTAATTTGCGCTTGCCGTTGAAGAAAATTGAGCTACCAAGTTTTTAATTGACTTTGCGCGTAACTGCAGTAAGACGCGCGCCACGCGCCTCCAGCCTGAGACGCTATGATGTGCGCTATTTATTTTGCCACATCTTCAACGTCGCACTCGGTTTAACATCAGCAACGCGATTACTCACTTAATAATACTTTGGACGCGATTCGTGACTTCGTTTCATTTTATCAAACTAGATTAGGCTCGATAAAATTAAGCGCACTAAATGGATTAGGCGCAGGAGGCCGGTAGAGCTGCGCAACGTAGCTCGAAAACTGCTAACATTCCTTCTCCGATGCGCAATGCAATTTCACTCTCCCCTGCCGCGTGCTCACGATTATCACGAAAATACTCGCTCGTTGGAGTTTTACGTGGATAATAATTAATCGAGGATGACACAGCCTTGGTTGTATATTTGAGCTCGAGCGTTGCGCTCAAGGTGATTTGCTTGTTTTTCATCTTTTTTTTTTGTTTTCTTCTTCTTCTTCTTTCGCTTTACGAAGAAAACAATTTTTCGTATTATTAGTCGTCGAAATTCGCGCCGAGATTAATCGAAAAACGCAGTAATGCCTCGATTATTATGATAGCGAATGCATTAGTGAGCGGTGGACTTATTGTAAAAACATTTGTCAACTAGTATCGCGTGCATTCTATGGAATTAATTAATTTATATAATAATTTATTATAAGCCATCTGAATAATCTCATTTGATATTAGTGTAATATAATTCGCTTTTTCTTTTTTCTTTTCGTACAAGTTCAATTCTACTCCGTTTTATAATAATAAATTTCTTTTGAGGTTTCGTATTCAGAGCATTTGCATCTGCAAGTATTATTTTCAATCCGGGATTGTAATTTAATTGAATTGCTTTAAATCTGTATATTTTAGACTGAAGGAACATTATAAATAAATATATATATATATATATATATATATGCGCGCGCGCGCACGGATGGAGAGAAATGTTAAACAAGTGTTGAGCAACTAGAGAGAATCGGGGATAGAATTTGCCGATACTTGCAAAATACGTATATTTTCAATCTAAATTACGCAACAACGAATCGGTATTTGTTGCCTCGATATCGCTTACCGGCGGCAATGTTCCAGAAATTCAGATTTGTTTTCCCGCAGCCTCCTCTCATACCGTCTTAACATCTTCTTCTTCTTCTTCTTCATCTTCTTCTTCTTCTTCTTTAGCCAAGAACATTTATTTTCCCGTAGCCAAGATTTTCGCCGAGCCCGCGCGTGTCGCGGATAACCTCCCACGACGTGAACGTCTCCGGGTACACGCAGAACTCGTCACGAGTGAAACAGATAAATACTACGACGCGCTCGTGTGCGTGCGCTTGCAATGAGGAAAGGGGGAGAAAAAGAATGAGGATGGAAAATAGGAGAGAGAAAAAACGGAGATAAGTAAAGTAATTTATTGTTTTTATGGTGGTAAACGGTCGCGAAAACGATTATTCACTCGGTGATTGATAATTGGTGATGAACGGTGACGAAAATACAATAGTTATTTTATAAAAGTTTTTATAATACTTTAAAAACTTTATTTAACCATTAGCCTCGATTTCTTTATTTCATCTTTTAGTACTTATCTTGCGAACTTCTCGTCGCCTTACATTTCAACAAAATTATAAAATCTTTACATTCGTATCGATAATTATTAACGCGTGCATTACAAAGTACTAAATATTTTAAGAGAGTGTTCGTAAATATGGAGCGAGTAGCTTTCTCATTGGGTAACCTATATTAAGTCATAAATTTTTCAAATCTCATAGAAATGCACAAATGGACGAGTACGCAAAGAAAGGAATATAAATGATCGACGCTTATCAACTTATCATTGAAGTAGAATTATCATTAAATTAAGCATTAACTAATATTATTAAATATCATTATTAAATTATAAAAATTAAATTATCGCTAGGGATTAATTTCCCTTTGATATCGCAATTTATATTGAGCAGCTGAAAGGAAATTTCTCGATATTTTTGTGATATTTTTCGCGAGATGCCGACTACCGTAGAGTCCTTAAAAAGTATAACGAGCCTACGTATAATTGCAAATCGAGCGAAGAAACTCGTACCCATAAAAATCTCGCTTTATTATTAATTTTATTATAAATCGCAGAGAGCGTTTCGAATTAATACTTCGTCTCGTCAAGAGATCGCTGCCTGGAATTCTCTTAAAAAAAAAAAAAAAAAAAAAAAAAAAAAAAAAAATGCCAAATTGTTCGATCGGCTACAATTCGTTAGTTCAGGTCCAACAGGACGGCAACGAGTCGTCACCCCTATCTCGCACCACCTTTCTGATTACCGTAGGAGCAAAAAGCCAGGAACAAAGATCGGCTAATTCGAGTTTAAAACAGTCGAAGCGAATTTCCACGATCGCAGAGCCCCAGAGTGGCCCATTATAATACGGCGACATTAAATTATCGAGGCGCTCTCTCTCTCTCTCTCTCTCTCTCTCTCTCTCTCTCACTCTCTCGGTTCGCTTATGATAATTACGCTTAAGAGCTCGTTCGAACTTTTATTATTCACGTGTGCTTTTGCGCAGACTATGGGAGGTCGAGCTGAGCGAGGAGCTGCACTGGAAGTACAATGTCACGATCTTCTGCATCGTGCCCACCAAGCTCCGGCAGAACAAACTCTACATAGCCATTTACGTTCACTGGCTCTACTTTTTCGTCTGCTACGCATTCCCCTTCGCGGCCCTTGTTATTTTTAATGCGGCTATTTACAAGAGGGTGAGTATAGACGCTGACGAGAGTGCTGAAGGAGCGCGAGAAATTAGCAATTACGAGGCGTGGAAAATTCTCGAATAAGACGCTAAGTATCTCACGCCAATTGCATTGAAAAATTTTATTGTCTTTTTATTTGCTTACTTCTACCGCGGTGGTGTTATTATTACAATAGAGATTATGAGATATCGCGACTCGCCTTCCTCGCGCTTTAACAATCGTTCGACAAGTACTCTTAATACACAGTATAACGTCCTAGAAATAATTACGCGAATATAAATTTATTTATACCTTTGGTAGCTTTGGACTGTTTTGTTGTTGTAGTCAGCAACTAATTTGTCGCACTGAAAATCCAACTTACGTTACGCATAATATTCAAATCTACATTTGCGTTGTTGCACATGTGTATGATATGTGATTGGAATAATGAATTCCATTTCAAAATGCAATTTATCTCATTTAGAAACTTAGTTCGTGGCATTGATTAAGTTTTTCGTATAATGAGTAAGGAAAGCTTGCAATCTAAGTTTCGAGCAAATTACCTAGAGGCAAAGACACATTTCCATATATCTTCTTTGGCCTATTTGTATTTCCTACTTGGAACCTGGATTTCAAATTCCAATTATAAAAGTAAACCAAATACACTGCAGAGCGTATAAGAACACCAATCACTAACTATCAAGCTTTATTTATTAAACAGAAAAAAAAAAAAAAGAAAAACAAAAGAAAATGTGTGCATACATTAACTTAAAAAAAAAAAAAATTCAAAAAATGATCTTCATAATTAATTGAACTAAAATCTACGCTTTGTAATAGCGAACTCCGATAAACAAATATGTCCGATAAACTGTTAAAATGTTTTCGTATACGAAATGACATGCACATAACATTACATTACACATTGGCATTTTATTCATAATCACATGAATTAATTTCGAAACGTTAATCAATGACAAATTATTTCGCGATAAATATTTACATAAACTACGGCAATTACATGGAAATTATAAAATGTCGACTTTTGATCGCGGCATACGCTAATTATCCATTTACCAACAAAATTGGCGCTATTGGATTATCATACTGGCAGCCTTATTAATGATTTAACATTAGGAAAGAGATAAAAGTAGTAATAATATCTGGGGCGATGGTGGGGGCGAACGAAGGTATTCGTATTTCAATAAATTCACAAATTGAGAATTTATTGAAAATTATACGAATTATTAAAAATTATCCTTCCGTTATTCCATGTACTTTTTCAGCAATAAGTAATCTCGCGAACTCGTTATTATCATCTATAATCAAATGACGATGAAAATCCTTAACAACAACAAAATTATCGAAACTACGAAGGCGTAGTTTACTCGATGTCCGAATTAATTTCGCCAATACTTGTAATTCGATTCTCGTTACTTGCGCGCCGGTGCGGATACGCAAGATGAGCCGCGCAATCCAAACACCCCCCCCCCCCCCCCCCCCCCCCCCCTTCTTATTGTCACTGCATATCTTTCTGTTCTTAAGGCGAACCGCGACCTGCGCCGACTTTCCCGGCACCAGCGTCGCGAGATCGGCCTCGCGACGATGCTGCTCTGCGTAGTGATCGTCTTCCTGGTCTGCAACGTCCTGCCCCTTGCCAGCAACGTCTACGAGAACGTCTACGTGAATCCGCCCACCTGGATGATCCAGGTCGGTAACCTCCTCGTGACGTTCAACAGCGGCGTGAACTTCGTCATCTACGTGATATTCGGGCGCAAGTTCAAACGCATCTTCATGAAGATATTCTGCCGGGTGTCGGGCGAAACGGGCCTCGACTGCATGGGAAGGCCGAGTCGCGCCGACAGCCCGGACTTCCAAACGAACGAGGACTCGATCGCCACCAACACGAGCAACCTCGAGCTGAGAAACTCGATACGCCGGCTGCACAGCGGCCATCATCACCACCACCATCCTCATCATCACTCGCTGAGGCCGAGTAACGGCAGCTCCTCGCGATCCTCCGTCTACTACCCGAAGCACAGCGGCAGCTTCTACAACGGCTCGGGCAAGAACCACAAGGATCGTACCTCGAGCCTCGACGACACGGCCTTCTGCTGACGTCCGTCGGCCGTCGTCGCGGTGTCGCGAGTCCCCACCCGCTCCAGCAGCTACTTCCCGCCCTTGGCGATGACGCGCGAGTTTTTGCGAACGTTCCTCCGAATGGTCGCCCGGTCTTGTCTGCGATAAGGACGAACGTTGCCGATTAACTGCCCCCCCCCCCCCCTCACCCCCACCCCCACCGCCCATACTTTCTCGAATTTCCACCTCATCCTCGCCCTTCATCCGAGCCAAGATTTTTGCCTATCGAGTGTAGATGCGAGCGATTATCGCGATTATCCGAATTACTCAAGCACCCGTACCTCAAGCTCATCTTCTTCTTCTTCTTCTTCTCCTTCATTAACGCGTCAATTGTGCTTGGGAACGGAATTGGGAGGGGAGAGCGTTGAAAGAACGAACGGCACGTGTTATGGAATATCGTTGCCACTTTATATTGGATTTACGACCCCAATAAAGCTATGCCTGCGAAATAATCGAATATTCGCACTTTCATTTGTGTCTCGTGGCTTACACTGCTTAAGGAGGTGGAGGCTGGGAGGCGGCGGAGTCGTCGGTAAGTGGGTGGGTGTGCGCGCGTGAGAAAGTCCTAAATTTACCACCGTGCTGTTTCACAATTTTCAACTTTTAAATAATAGACTGTAATTAAAGACATACTTGGACTTTGGTAAATATGAAATTTATAAATATTAGAATTAATCTTTTTACGCTAACATTGATGTATTATTCGCTTTGAAACCTTTCGAGCTTGAAGCAAGAATAGTACCGAGGGCTTTTTGGTTGCAGACTTTATTGCAATAGATTCATAAATGGGTACATGTGAACAACGTATAACTTATTAGATTACTCGAATTACCATGCTCAATGCAGATTATTCACAGTCTTCGATTGACATTAATCGGTAATTTTTCAAATGTAATCGAAGATTATTTGATAGTGGCGTAAGCGAAACTTTGCATTACGGTTGTTGAGATCTTATTGTCATATCGTTATTAATTTCATTTGAGTAAAAACTCAATTTCTGAAAGTGTGGATTTTCATTTAACAAGAATTGTCGCTATGAAAATAATTGCCAGAGCCAAAAGTATAGATGTAAACATGATAAGATAAAACGTCGATGCTCGCGTGATCAATTAATTATTATTATGCACATACGAAATAAAAGCATTGATTCCTTATTTAATTAAAAATAAAAGAATACAAACAAACAAAAATGAATTTTTATAAAAAGATAATTCTTAACATATATTACGTTCATCTAAAATTCGAAATATCTGTTTAGATTGAATTTGCACACATACGGTAGAGAATAACGACTGTACAAAAATAATACATTACAGCCTTAACGAAGGGAATGTAATTTTTCAGTTAGATGAATGGTAGCTTTATAAATTTTGTATAAAATTATGAATAATTGCAGTTGACATTTATAATTATTGCAACAATATTACGTTTCAGTATTACATAATGCATAAGCATAAAGATAAAGGCCAAAATTTACTAAAATAATAGCGAATATCGTAAATAATACTGCTGATGTATCGTGAAAAATCTTTTAAAACCTTAAGAACTTTTATACTTGTTGTTTATATAGCATTTTGAGTAAAGATAAATGAGAGCATTAAGAAACTTCGTTAAGAATTTGAACAATGAATATTATATTGAAATATAAAACTCCTTCATATATATATATATATATATATATATATATATATAAATATTAAAAATAGTAATAACTATTTACATCGGCGACTAATTATCATTATCAAAGAGGCATATAATTGTATATGTCGTTAACTTTATGTGAACATTAATTTAAATCATTTCACGATTTCGTCTAACTAATTCCTTCTTCTTTTTTTTTTCTTTCTTTGTTTTTGTCTTTTAAACAATTTGATTAAACTTTCGACTTTTACTATAAATGTTTCCGGCAATGTATTACTGTATACTCGTTTCCTTATCACAACAAGAATTTATCATTGATCAACTTTTAGAATACGATAGCATAATTTCATAACTATACTAATGTATTTATAATAAACTGCTATCCATTAGTAATAGATTTTGAAATAATATAATAATGCTCTGTAATTCAAGCATATCATATCATATTCATAAGATATTCAATGACAATTCAATTCGTCTTAAATAAATTTTATTAACATAATTTATTAATCAATAATGGAGATTGTAAAATTATTTATTACTTGAATTATAAATTGGAGAATTTAAAAAATATATTAAATTTATTCTTACACTATTTATAATGTTTATTTTGTTTCAATTATTTCGTCCGTTATTCATTACTTTACGAATATAATCATTAAATTTACTTATAGAATGCGGAAATTTACGATTTGTGTTCAATTTATCTGAACGACTGTAATAGAATTTTCACATTGCTACTCTTATTCTCTGCATTAAAGCATTAACATTCATCATTCGATCTTCGTTAAAATTTCTTGTATAATATTTGTATATACATGTATAAATGCATGTATAATACACTTACAAACGCGAATTACGTACATACAATTGATGATTTTTTTGCATTTATTACCGAAAAAATAGCCAAGTATTTTAAGGGAAATGATATTATTGTTGATTCTTTATGATATTAGAAGAAGAAAACGTTTTAAAAGCACAATTTAAAGGTGAACAAGAAATTACTGCACTAAGAAAAAATATTTTTGAATAGTGAAATTTTAATTACCATTGGAATCGTTATATCTCTCGTTTCTTTTATTACATTAAATGTTGATTGTAAATTTGCATGGTACTAAAATGTTTAAAAAAAATTGCCTTTTGCGAGATACAACATTGTTAAAAATTCATATGCATCAAATTTAATCCGCATTGTTGAATGTTTTTACCGATTGTAAATTCATCCCAGACATTCTTTAAATATCCATTCATAACGACTATTAAAACTTCAATTAATCTCTTTGTAATAGTCGCCATTCATTACTAATAACAACTTTGTACAATAAATTTACGTAAAATGTAAATTGTATACATGCATGTAGATTTAAGCGATAAAAATAAAAAAAAAAAAAAAAATCTG